TTTAACATAAATTTCGTCTTCTAACAATGAATCATTAAATTTCCAGAGCCCAGGGCCTCTATTGTCATTTTCCAGTTGCAATTGGACTCTAATTGCTTTGTGATCAGGCGCGATGGAAACTAAAGTATCCAAATGAGAAACTCGATTTGCAAGGGGTTGTGATACGAGGAAAAAATCAATGCGAGAAGAGAGTTTTAATGCTTTGGACTCGTAGGTGAAACACAGCTTACTTGGATTAAGATTTCTGTAGACATCAATCAGTGAAAATTCTTTCATCATGGAAATGAGTTGATTGCGGTATGAGGTGGGTTTCCACTGGAACACACCTTTTTTGCCAACAGCGTCCAGGGTAACATTCCAATCGCCGCCAACAATGATATTTCCAATATCTACATTTGTTATCAAAAAGTTATTCAGATTGCGCAAAAAGGCTAACTGTTGTTGTAGATCGTTGGGGGCATATATGTTCCACAATGAAATATTTGCAGAGCCGGAGCTCAGCTAGGCTAAATGAAATGATTCTTCCATTTTGGTCCCTAATGGGGACGTGCGGCCAGCCAGGGTATGTTTTTCGGGATTTTTGTCTTAAACAGGATATCGATTTTATCATTTTTTGTCTTAATCAGGGTATCGATTTTATCAGTTTTTGTCTTAAACTGGGTATCTTTTCTTGGACGATAAACTGCCTGCGCGTATGTTCTACGAATGTCTTAAACAGGGTATCAAAAATCGAAATTCTGCCTTAAATAGGGTAGGAAAATCAGCGATTTTTGTCTTAAACAGGGTCAGGGTATAAGGGGCCGGGCTGCACCTTCCCACCTAAGGATATATCGAGTAGCCCCCCTCCCCCCCCCGGGGAGCGCCGTACCCTTTTTGTAAAGACTGGATTTAACCTTGTGGCTCAGGAATTTAACAATAATTGGTTTGTTTTGTTACTTGAGCTGGTGAGAAATTTCGATGTCACCTAGCCTGTGTGCGCCCCTCGCGTTTCTCTCGCGCCAAAAACTCCCTTTCCCAAAACTCCTTTTCCCTTCCCTTTCAAACGCCTGCCACGCAGGCTAGATGTCACCCGGAGAGATCGGCACATCCAATACCTCTCCTATCTTTAAAACAACATCCTCGGTTGTGGTATAAGCTTCTTGAGGGATGCCGTGGATTTCTAGAGAGGGTTAACAAACCTGCCCGCTTGTATCCTGAAGGTTTTTGTTTTCACGGGTTTTTACCAGCTCCCGCTTATTTGCTGTTTTTTTTTTTAAATTTTTTTCGCGGGTTTGCTAAAGGTCTCGCTTGTTTATTGAGATTTTTTATTTTCACCGGTTAACAGAAGGTCCTGTTGTTTATTGTAGGTTTCTTCTTTTGTGGGTTAACCGAAGGTCCCGCTTGTTCATTGAAGATTTCTATTTTTCCGGGTACGTTAACAGAAGCTTCCACTTGTTATTGCTGTTTTTGTATTGGCGGGATAACTGAAGGTTCCGCTTGTTGATTGAAGGTTTCTATTTTTGCGGGTTAATAAAAGATTCCACTCGCTATTGTTGTTTTTTGTCTACTTGGGTTAACAGAAGGCCCCGCTTGTTTGTTGAAGTTTTTGCTTTCGCGGGTTGACAGAAGGTCCCATTTGTTTATTGACCACTCCAGAAAATACCATAACATACCATAATGCTCTTTGTTTGTCACCCCAAAATTCAGTGCATAAGCATTGTTTTCAGTTTCTCTTGGGGCCATTTTAACTCCCAAGAGAAAATGAAGACAAAGCTTATGCACTGAATTTTGGGGTGACAAACAAAGAGCATTATGGTATATTTATATCATAATGGTATTTTCTGGAGTGGTTCATTGACCAGTTTACAGTTGTGGACTTAGTACCCTAGCCTTCGAGTGAATGTGAGGCTGACGGTGAACTTGTTTTGATACAAACCTCTTTTGCTTTGTTATGGAAATTATCCTTGAAAAATACTAGTTAGCATAAGAATAACTTGATTTTCATAATAAAGCAGGAAGCTTTGTATCTAAACAAGGTCACCGTTAGTCTCGCTTCCAGCCATAACTGTAAACTGGCCTATTGGGGTTTTTATTTTTCTCGGATAGCACAGAGTCCGCTTGTTTATTGGAGTCTTTTATCTCCAGTTTTTTTTTTTTGAGCTTTTATAGTCAGTATGCACTTTTAGTGTTGTGAACTTCCTTTATTCTCCGAGTAGTAATTTGCTGCTACATTTAAGTGGCCTTACTCTCCATTCGGTTTTTCTTTTATTTACATGGGTCGCTTATTCCATTTGTTTTCTCGATCCCGTATACGGGTCAACCGGGTTTTTCTCCCTAATTTCGCCTTTCCCTCTAGCTCCCAATGGCGGCGCCTAGAGTAGTGACTTTCACTCTCGCGGATTACCATGCGCTAGGGCCGCCATTCCCCAGGGGCTTAAAAATTAGTTTTTAGCCTTTTTGGGGAGGAACGGGGATTGCCCTTCGTACCCCCTTTTTAATTTTCCCTTAGTTGTTTTTGCAGTTTCCAAATATATTCTTTCCACCACCGGGGAAAGGTAGCCTAAAGTTTCTTTTTAGTACCTTTTTTCTTAGCTCTTTCTTTCACAAGCCTAAAAAAGCAATTTAAAGCGTATTTTCTGGCCCTTTTCTCCGACAGCGATCAGCGAAGGTTTTCAGCGCAGTCTCTCAGCTAAAGTTGACAAGAGCTTGGGTGAGCCTCGTTCTGCAGTCCGTGCCGTGCCCGGGTCCACCCCCTTCCACCCCCTGACCTGTTTCAGATGCGGTCGGATTGGCCATTAGGCGAACCGCAGTAGGTTTCAGCCTTACGCTCTGCCAGGCGCCACATCTTCCGCATCTGGTCCAATACCCCAGTTCCGTTAATTTTTATCATTTTTTCTATGTATTGGCTCCTTGCGGGGGGGAAGTAAAGGATCGGCGACGCTCAGGAATGTTTCAAAGTTGATTTCGAATGTCCCGAAGTTGTTTCGGAATTAATTAGTCCCAGATATCTTCGAGTTCTTTAATCATTTATTCTTATTCTTATTTATCATTCTGGCTAGAAATATTGCCTGCAAAAGTATTTTACGGAAAACATTGAAGTAATTTGGGCTAGTAGCTTCAAAGTACGAACGAAAATCGAGATGGAAGAACAATTTTCATTGCGTCTCACTTCGCAGACGAGTTTGCTTATGCATGTCCTGTTATGTCGGACGAACAGATTGGCTTTTTACTGTCGAAACCTTGTCTTCTTCCCCTGAAATCTAGCTTGGAAGTCGTTTTACACAGTGGAAAACCCACATTTATTAGTTTGCCAGTTAAATTCCCCACGGACAGATCCAAGTTTCAGTTCTGTACTACGGCTCGAGGTAAGCAAAAATTACTTTTACGCGAACTGTGTTTGGGTGTGTGTTTTTTCTTATTCCAGCTGCCGAAATAATGCTAAATATGCTTTCAATACACTTCTAAAAATAACACCACAAAATAGGCCAAGAAGAAAAGAAGAAACAAAGTAGGGACTTTCACGACGACATTAGCGGTGGGTTACCCATCCAGTTCCTAACCCCGCCCAACAGGACTTATCTTGAGTGGCGCTACTAAAAAACCTTAGTATCGCAAGGGATATTGCTAGATAGTGTGTTGCGACGTTGTACATGAATTATCCTCGGTGTGGAGATTGTTCATTTTCTGCAAGTTTTGTAAGGAAGTGTACTCATGTTAGTTAGTTACGTTGCTGGACAAGATTTTGAGTTGACTGTTAGTGTAAATATGAAAAGTGTTATTGTAAAGGAAATAAAGGAAGTGGAACTGAGTTCTCGTCGTGCGCAACTTATTTATGACTGAAATTATAATCGAAGTAGGTCTCAGTCACACGGTCATGCACCTAGCAGACTTCCGGTGAAGAAGTTAAGACGTCTGTTACACACATTAAAAGGAGAAAAGTAAGGGTATTTCTATGGAAGGGTATCCGGAAAAATATCATTTCTTACTATTCCTCCGCATTCCCAATTAATCCAAAAGCACAGCGCCGAGGTGTACGCTCCCACAGCGTCTTGTTTCCAGTAATTTCAGCTCTGCCACTGATCCTGCGCTATGTCTCCTGTATTCCATTCCACGCCCTCCCCCCCCGCTCAAAACCGGATGTTCGATTTGGCTTGAAACCTGGCTGAGTAGCTGCCACATTCCCTTTCCTGAGTGTGAATAATTTCATCTCGTCTAGTCATCCGGAAAGCGTCTTATGTAAGACGTGTCCTATTTTTCCTCGTATAAATGGCCCTATTGTATGAAAGGAAAAAAACCATTATCAAGCAGATTCCATTCCACCAAGGGGGATAACCTATAGTGCGATCATCAGGATAATCATATAACGTCTTCACCATTTTAGGAGCAGGGCTTATGAAATTGATAAAGAAATTAATAAGAAAACGGTTTCAAGAAAATTGTGCTTTTGTCTTCATTTTATTTCAAATAAGGATTTATGTACATTTGCAGTGCCTGGTCCCAGGCTATATGAACAGCAGACAATGTGTCTTGTACAATCAGCCACGGACGGAACTAAACTTCCACTTATGCGCAACAGCACCGAAATTCTTGTAGAGTAGGATTTGAGTATACGCCACGATTGGCCTGTTAAAAAAGCCATTGTCGACTTTTCAATCAGGTTGACAAGAAATTCGAAATTTTTTGCGGTAATTCACTGGGTCCGTTGGGGGCCCGGTACAAGGATATAGGCGCTAATTCGGAGGCGTTGCTAACCGGGGCTAGATTACGTCTGTCAGGCTCTACCGGGGTTACTAGGGTGGGGGAGAAAAGAGGGCCCAGGGGAGCTTGCTCGCAGGCTACTGCAACGCAGGTTATGTGTCTTGCAGTTTCATTGCAGAACGTTGAATGGGACGTTTAGCATTGAATTTTCCCTTTATCTGGACTTTCATCGTGGCGGTGAAAAGAGTTGCACACTGGCTTTTCCTTTAACTGGCATACACTGTATGCATCGTACAAACTGATCCTCGGCCATCTCAAAGGTGCTACCACCATCGATAGTGTGCATACGCTCTGTTGTCTTCTGCACGCCTATGTAGTTCACGTTTCTTTTTTATCACGGTACCCTATTGATATAACAAAAGTATCGCGTGTAAGACGAGGAATTTTTGAGCTAAGTCACGTACTTGCAACGAATGAGCCCCCAAAAAAAAAAAAAACAAAACAAAACAAATTCTTTAAACTGACTTGGATGGGATACAAGTAGTAGGGAAGGCCACGGCTTCCAAAACGACCCTTAAAAGTGAATTAGCGCTGTTTCAAACTTTATCGCGCTTATTCCATCTCCTTAAATACATCAAATGTTGGCAATTTCTTCGGGAGTTGAATTATGAAGGGCTCTCAAAGTTCAGGCAAAAAAAGTCGTGATCTTGTGTTCAAGTCCTGCACAAAACGTGAAATGAAGGAAGTTTCAAATTGTAGTCGTACAGTAACGGCAAAGAAATGTAAAGAAAGCGTGACCCACTTGCAAAGTTATTGTTTTGGATATCGTTGCCCTTGCTTTCGCCGTCGTCGGTGCCAAAGCTCCCTATTGGCCGAATTTCTACTAAAGTCTGAGACGGATAAATGGTCTAGACATAAATTCGGTGTTTAGACGAAGTTTGGCCCCATATTCCCCGTCCACACGACAGGGGACACTTGGGATTCGTGTGGAGGAGGAAAACCACTCCGGAAAGTGGTTTCAAAAAGATGCAGTTTCGGTAAGCAGATTCACTGGTTTTGTGTGGACGGAAGACCGATTCGTGAACAAAAATAAAATGTGCCGCTTCAAAAATATCTTGGCTTGAATGGACGGAGCCATAAGCTAGCGCTTCTGTTTGCATATGGCGTTACGCTTGATTTGCTTCTGAAATCCAGGCTATAGGGACACTGACATAAAGAACACAAAAGTCATTTCAGGCATAATGAAGATAATTCGAATACCATCTTTGAATGTGCCATAACACTATGTCCACGTATTTTGGTGGCTTCCTTCCCATGCTGTTACCACTTTGGACGACCAGGCGGTAGCCTCCCACACAGGCGTGGTAGGCTAACCAGGCAGTCGATAGTACAGTCGAAGCCCGCTTTATGGACGCCTGCTTAATACGGACACTCATTTTGTAAGTGCTATTACTGTTAATTCAGTAGTTTGCAACATTTTCGGATATTGAAAATTAGCCTGATGTTTTTATCTTGAATAAATAAAAGTGCTGATGATGATACTTTCTATGGCCCCCTTATTGTCCGTATTCACGGAGTTTGACTTTACTTTGAAGGCAGCTGTTCTTTTCCTTAACCGCGAATGAGATGCGCGCTTCGATCCATTTTGGTCAATTAAACACAAAATTCTGTCCAAAATCAGTACCGTACTATTAAAGTGACAAGTGCATGGTGTATCAGGATCACTTGTTACCTCATTGTTGTAAGCATTGAGAAGTTCTTTAGCCAGTTTCTTGTACATTCTTGCGTTCTTATTTGTTTTCTGCTGTTCCCGAGCAGCGGTGATCAGCCATTTGATTGCTAGAAAACGGCGGCGTTGAGGAGGAAGAGGAATGGGCACCTGAAAGTTAGGCAAGAAACAATGCGAAACTTTACTGACTACAGGCCTCCAAGAGATAGTTTGACTCGAATGGAATCGCCACGATCCGTTTTAGAATTGGAGCGACTCCTAATTCTGTGACTGTTACTTTCCAAGTACTATGAGATTGTGCTAACCAGCTAAATTTGTCCAAAAACACAAAAAAATTAAATTAAATTGTTAACATGATTGCTTCCCAAATCTGGAAAGTTGCGCCCCTGAGGATAAAGGTAATACTTTGAATCTCGGTCCTTAAACTAAAAGAAGACAAACAGACGTACTTCCGCTGCTTTCCTGAACAGGAAAAGCATATTCAAAAAGACACAATTAGACATCATCACTTTATTGACAGAGCGAAACGTCAGAATAGCTTGCATGACTCCATTACGGCGTTCGGAAATGAAGAAAGCAACAAAATGCAAAGCATTAAATGTAATTTTTGAACCTTTATTTTTTTTTTTTGGGGGGCGGTTAACCCGTTTTCAATAGACTCTTCCACGCGGGATTGTCTCGAGTTGATAAGGATCAGTTAGCAAAATCCGTCTACACTGCTGGAAAGAGCGCCACAGAATTACTAAACTTGCTAAGTTTGAAAGTAATACAGCTCAAGGGAGCGGAGAAATAGCTCTGCAAATTGCGAAAATTCACAGACGCTTGTGTGGTCGGGACAAGTTTGTACCCTCATATAGTGTTCATAGTCACAAAATTTTACATAAATCACTTTCAAACTTGGACATTTAAAGGCGCTCTTTCTAGCGGCGGTCTTGAAGGATTTTCCCTAACAGGTCCTTGACAAAAGTTGTAAAACACCGTGTAGAGATCCATTGGCACGTCATCAGCTACAGATGTAAGTGCCATTCAGCCACTCTGATCACTTACATGTTAGTTCCAAGTACATGTACAGTTACTTCCCTTGCCGTGGCAGGATTAGCTCAGTCGAGCTGCAGTCGCTTAACTGCAGAGAGGGAAGGTCGCGGGTTCGATTCCCGAGGCCCGACCAATACCCATGGTCTTAAAATAACTGAGAAATGAAGATACTCTATTTGTACTGCAAGCGGCTAGACCTTCGCGTGGCTCGGATGACCACGCAAAATAGCTTTTTCGTGCTAAATACCTTAACACTAAAATAAAGGGCTTTTTTCCTTTTCTTTTGTTTTCTTTTTTTTTTTTTTAGTAAAACCCACACTGTGCTATAATTTATTACCTGATAGACCTTGCCTCCTCTATTCATTCCTCTGACCCCAACAATAGGCTTACAGTTTTCCACTGCTTCAAGAAAAATTTGCAGTGGATCTGTCTGTACAGAGTCGGGGTTTGTTGATTCCCTTTGTCTGTAAAATAAGAACAGTTATTTAGAAGAAGACGCTAATAGTACTCTATTATACATTGTGTTATCTGTCTTCTCATTGGATAAGAGCCTAAAGGTAATTGTGAAAATCAGCCTGAACTGAAGATTAGCTAGTTAACTGCTTGCTTACTTAAATCTGTCGGTTGCAAATGCAATGCATGATTTCCAAGAGCAATTTAATACTGTGTTCTGCGACAGTGTGTTTCTTGTTATTTGTGTAAAACACCTGTGTAAAACATTGTGTAAAACAATGACGATAAGGTTCAAATTTTGTGACGTCCAGAATAATGAAGGTATTCCAGATATCACATCATCCAATCTGAGTTGTTATTAAAACACTGCTGCCCAAGAACACAGCCACACAGCCTTGCAGTTATAATTATGTACATCAAAACATGATTCAAGGAATCAGCTGTTACTCCCACTGAAACTACATTAAATGAACATTATTGCATGTAAGCACTTACGCAGTACAAGCAAGAGGAGAGAGAGGGAAAAGCCTGTAAGGTGTCTTTAGTTCTACAGATTCATTGCTGTAAGGACATGCTCCCAATCATACCATTCTGACACTAACAGCAAAAATGAGGTGACAGTAATTAATTATTCCTTGAAGGATCTGAAATTAACCTTACTTTTGTAGTTGCTCCGTCTTGATATCCTCCAGAGCCTGTGATGAAACGATAATGACAGCACATTAACTCCACAAGAATGTACATGTACTAAATATCATTATTTTAACCGGTAAAAGCAAAAAGGTAAATGAACCAAAAAAATAATTATTATTACGTTTGAAAATTACCTAGGCGTCAAGCGCTGAAATTCTTTATAGAGTCATGCACTGTTGTTAACGTGAGTGCTGGTAAATAAATATGCAAAATGTACGGTCGAACTTGTATTAAGCAAACCTGTATTAGGCTGTCCCCTTTTATTGAGTAGTCACTTACCAAAGTCTGGGAAATCATTTCCCTTAACTACTGGTAAACTGACCTGTTTTCAGCAGTTACCTCTGTTAAGCAGTCGTGTTCACCTTTTCTAAGGTCCCAGCTAGTTATTTTATATTGCCTTCACCTCTATAAACTGGCCACTTTGTCAAGATGTTTACACATGTACCGTACTAGTACAATACAGTGTAGATACACTTGCAAGGCATTTAGTGGTCTTTACTTCCTCTCTGGCACAAAAAGAGGTACACATGTAGAGACACTTTGAGGTTCACTTGTGTATATATATATTGCAGGTCAAAATTAAATTCAGGTTAAATTTTTTTAACCTAGGTGGATTCTCAATTTCCTAGGTTAAAAAATTTTAACCTGAATTTCATTTTAACCTGTAACATAATATATACATCAAGCTGTGTAACTATTTTAAGTTTTACATGTTATGTTTCAATTTTATCCTTGGATAAAACCTTCAGTATTTGGGCTTTGGGTATGACAATGCATGATAATGAGTTTGAAACAAGGGAATTAATAACATTTAAGCCAAGGATACAGAGCTACAGTCAATTCTCTCTTATTAATGGACACCTCTATAAGACCGACACCTTGTGTTGGTCCCTGCCATTTTTCACTCATTTTACTGTTACTATACCCTATAAAAGATGGGCAACTCTCTAACACTGACAATGAACACTTTTGAAACCGTTAATGGACACTCGAGAAGTTAATTATGCAGTGAAAAATACCTCAAAACGGAAATGAACATGGTAGGTGCTCTGCATGACAGTAAATTGCAAAGTGTTTGATATTTTGTGGTTGTGCTCCAGTTCATAGAGTGTATACTGCTACTCTTCTTTAAGAATGCAAAGCCTTGAACTTTTGGTTGCAATGAACATTAATTTTGATTGCACGATGAGAAAATAATTCCACTTTTCTGTAACACTGTTTCAGTTTTAGCGGTTTTGCACAAGTTAAACAGATGTGTATTCATTGTGAATAGGTTCAGCTTTAAAATTACCGGTGTCATGATAACTTGACTCTATAGAGTGTTTTCACATGACGTCACGGCGGCCATATTGGTGTCCCAAAACAATGAAACGGCGGCCATGTTGGTGTCCCAAACCAATCCTCTGGGAGTTGAACTCTTTTCTTATGCAAACGCTTTCTTTTGTTCCAATAAATTTGCATAGATGCTGGCCAGGTGAGTGAAAACACTCTATAAACTGGACACCGCTTTAAAACAGACAGTCGGGGCTGGTCCCAAAGGTATCCCTATTAGAGATACCTGTAGTTGACTGTACATGTATGACATGTAAGTGTAAGAAATGCAGTTGTAATGTTCTCTCACAAATGATTGATATTAATCGTACAGCTGTGAAAGGTTTGAACCCAGGAGTCATTTCAAAAGGTTGAGTTTGATCGTCCGGATGAACGTTACAGTCCTGAATAGGACTGTTGTTGTTGACAGTGACTGACATTTCGACAACCTGTGCGGTAGTCATCTTCAGAGTCAAAGCGACTCTGAAGATGATTAATCGTACATTTTTAAAATTTTAATTGTCCACTTACCATCTTCAATATTTTTTGTGACAAAGACTTTTTGCCATCCCACATCATGCAGTTCACAAATTTGCTGAGTGTGAATCAGAAATGAACAATGAATTTTATGTTTAAATGTTGACCAATTTACCGAATTTTCCGAGATTCACGGGTTTTGCAAGACATGAATTTCTGGTCATACTATTAACAGAAACAAAAAGTTTGTGGTTCTAAAGAATTGATGAACATTCTTTGATTATGTAACAATGTAGGGGTGGGCACTGTTCAAACCTATAAAAATCAACATCATTAAACAAACACGAAAATTACAATAAGTAAATAAGCAAATAAATAAAATGAAATAACATTATCATATTACATGTACTTGGTTTATGGCCTCTGAGGTGACCACAACAGTGATATAGGGACATTGTTTCTGGCCATTGTTCTAATACATGATTATTGGAAAAACAAAATTGGCAAGAAGGCTACTGAACCTTTTTATTCTTAATAGTGTTACTTACTTCACTAGTTCATTGTCAAATATTGATGGTGTTAAATGAGAGTCAGCAGCTCTTGGAATTTCTAGTTCTTCATCTTTGTCTGAAATGTTTCTGAAAAAGAATGGTGAACAACATTCAAGAACTTATAAAAAATTAAGAAAATTCACCTCTTGAGCATCTGATATCATGATATAGTTTCACATGACTTTAAGTAATTTTATGACCTTTATTGTACAAAAAAAAAAAATAGTTCCGACATAATTATCACCCAAGCACTATATACATGTAGGTATGAACTACGAGTCACTGTTTCAAGTTCTTGTTACTGTAATTGATTATCTTCTATCTTTTTTGGTGACTGAAACTCAAATAGTTTGAAGTTCAAAATGTCAAAGCAGAAGACCAGGAGTGACTATTATATTACTGCATGAATATGGCACGGCAACTGAAAAAAAATGTTTGCAGGAAAATCAGGAATTCACCAAGTGCTTGAAATCTAAATGCTTTAAAGGTGAATTTCTGAATAACGCCTGACTAAAAAAAAAAGAGCTGGAGTCATAACGAGCCTGCATCCACATGTTTACGGGTAAACTGTACATGTAAATACTGGTACAATAAAGCAGGCCTATTTTTCCTTCTTTCAAAGAAGCCTGGAGTTTTTAGGAATAAACTTGGCAATACAATAATAATTTTATTTGGTCTGAACACATTACCCAGAGCTTGTTTCCTTGTGGTTGACATGCCAACCTGACTTTGGGACCTAAGTCACGATCTTGAACAAATCTCTGTATGAAGGTAAGCTTACTTCAATTTACTCAAACATTGCTCAGAGCTTGTTTTATTTTGTTGCTGACATACAAAAACATTGATTACTGTATATGGCCTTGCAAAATTAATGACTGACTTCAGTCACAACAGCATCCTCATATTCTTTAATTTATTTACCATTATGGACCCTGTATAAATGGTGTTGATAATTGAATAATGATTTATTCCTTTTTATTTTATAGACACGAGTGTTTTACTGGAAAATATACCACTCGTAAAATTCATAAAAACTACATCCGGGACCCGAGTGGTTTATTTTCCATTAGCTTACCTAGATCTTGTGCGTTACTCAGACCTTGGAAAATAAATATTTAATGATTGTAAAAGACCTTAAAAATTGCACCTGAAGCTCTTTGTAAGTTTAGTTTAAAACATTAATAATCTAAGAAATAAAGAAAAAAACTTAATGTGTACTATGACAGTTAAGAATTGAACATTGAAACTGAAATACAAGTAGGGTAAAATACCGCGGCTATGCTTTGGCACGCATCAGCTTTAAACAAACTGTTGTTAATAATCCATACTCCTCCCGAGAGAGATTCAGATTGCGGATGTGACATTGCCGTAAGAAACGGAGTGTAGGAAGATGGAGGAGGGGGTGTACTACTTTGAGAAAATCAAAAAGGTTAACTCATAATACAAGTCAGAACTCTCGAAAAGTATTTGCATTTCTGACTTGTAGCTACTTGTCTGGTTCTTGGACACGCATCCCAACCGGCGCGAAATGTATTTACATACTTTTCTCGGTATTCAATCTGAAACGCGTGCATCGCTGCACCTCTTCGAAATATAGGGATTTCTTTAAAATGCAAAACCATTTGGTGCGGAAAAAATTCAGCCGTTTCCTGATCACAAAATTATGCATAGGCGTACAGCACGATAGTACAGTGCAGTTGGAAGGGTAGTAGTCATGCAGTGAGTATAGTTTAAGCTATATATAAATCCTAAGCGCATTAAATTGAACATCCATTAGGACTTCGTTTGAATTTAGAAAGCGTTAGATAGGTTCATGATTCTAGTAACTGATAAGGGTCTGCTGGCATAAAAGCTAACAGCAAAAAGGGTCTTGTTACTGCAGTCGACTGAACTGAAATGATTAACAGACTAATCCTGAAGTTAACCTACTGACGTTAAGAGGCTGAAGCAACTCTACGTTCTCACACCGAAAACGGAAACTACTGGTAATTTACTCCCCATTTATTAATATTTTTTTCCTGCGATACCTCAAGCATAAAATCATAGTCAGGTGGTCAGTGTTTTTATCGAAAAACTTACGTAAGACTTATTAATAAGACATTTGAAAAGGTTACTAATTAAAATAACTTGCTGTCGGATTCTGCATAATTATAAACGCTTTTATTTTATTCCTATGATCTACCGCAGAGGACAATCTAGGATAAGGCCCATTACAATAATGTTTTCAGAGACATGCAAAGCGAAGGGTTTTCCATATTCTCCTTCGTAGTTTGTAGAACCACAATATGAATGTGAAAATGAAGGTGGAATGGTTCAATTAACAAGCGCATGAACTAAAGCCCTCCAAACACTGGACGAAAAAACGGATTTACTAATGTTTGCGAAAGGTGCAAATATGTGGTAAATTTGGAGCTCCAAATTTGCATTACATTTGCGCTGTCGGCTAAAGTGTGGGCAAATACATATATTTGCTAGATAGGTATTGATACGCAAAAGTGAAGTAAATGTAATGGTTTGATACAAATTTGATACATATTTGCAGCATGGGCAAATCTTCAACATTTCTACCAGTTTACTCAAATTTACATCCTTGGCAAAAATGACAGTTTTCACTTTACTTCAAATGCAGGCAAAAATATTGCAAAACCCCTAATTTGCAGTGGTATTTGCTCTTGTTTTTCCTGGATACCAAAAGAACACTTTTGCATGTGGTTTACTCGTATTTGCCTTAAGAGCAAAAATAATAAATTTCTAGACATTTGGCTGTATCATAAATTTGCACATTTGCATCATAATTATCCATATTTGCAAGGGGAGCAAATATAGTGAGCTGCATAACATTTGCTGACAGTCAAAGGTGATGTGCATGTGACATTTCCTATATGTTTGATCCGTTTTGTGACTAAAGTAAATTTCCAATCTCAACTGTAACATTACATTGTTACAATAAAATTTTGTACACGCTGTGAGACTCCGCCCAGAGATCCAACCCCTTACATGCATCTTTCCTGTTAACTGTTTTATGTGCACTGTCATTTTAATATAAAGGAATCAGAGACCAGTTAATTTTTTTGACAATTTTACATTCACAAATTTCTTCTGTTAGTCTTTTTACAGAACGAAATGACAGATAGTCTACCCTGTCATATACTTTAACTCAGGAAATCCCTATCCTTTCATACCTGAAGCATGAAAAAGGTGTCCCTTTCTGACAGCGCCCCTGGCATAAACCTTTCCCGGGCTACTAATTTAAAGCAAATACACTAATTCAAATCCACTCGTTATGAAGGTCCAGTAGTCAGATCATTGATGCACTGTATTTCCTACAGTCAGGGCCATAGCCAGTATGAGGCAAACCGAGGCACTTGCCTCTGTCATTTAAGGTTTGATCCTGGCAGTGTTTGGTTTCAACATAGCCATCATAAAGACCCTGAATAGCTAGGCGGGGAATTCAACCATGGATATTGCCTCAGTCCTTATTTTTTTCTGTCTACGGCCCTTGAACTTGGGATACAAGGAGGATCTACAGGAGCTACCGGTCGAATTGTCAAATCCTACCTGACAAAGCCCCATAAACAATGAACAGACCTTTATTGGGTTACAGGATCACAGGAGCTCTGAGTTGGCCTTAGATCATGAAAAGTCTAGAGCTATAAAGAAAAAACTAAGGTGGTGAAACAAATTAACATGCAGCCTTTAAACTTCTGGACTGGACTGGGTTGGTCAAAGATGGGTTAAGATAACACAAGGTTAGGTCCAGTGGTCAGATCATTTACTGTATTTTTGTACATCATACTAAAAAATCAAATTTGGTCCGAAATAAAAAAAGTTTGTGGATTTCAAACTCAGTGTTGTGATTATTCACTTGTACATAATTTCCTCATGGCCATTTAACCAACAAACTTAATTCAATTTAAAACCAACAATTTTAGTTTAACCGATATTTGTTGTAGTTTTGACTGCCCACCTAGAGATGACCACATCTCGATGGCCGGCTTCCTAAAAATGACCACATTTTGAAAACCCAACAGCCAATACTACAACAAAATATGGTGAAACTGCTCACAATTTTATTTGAACATTAACTCAGCTGACAAATTTATGAAAGGCTAATTTTTCTTACTTTGTTGTTTGCAACCCTGAGTTTGAGTCTCACTGTTCATTAAGTACTACCTATTCAATCCAAAAAAGGCATAGCATTTTTGCTGGCTAAAATTCACCTGAATCCTGGTTATTTGATCTTAAGATACAAGGAGCGGGGTTGTGGCTTCCCCAAAAATTCTGATGAAGAGAGGGTCTTCATATACAGGAGCTACCGGTCAAATCCCACCCAACAAAGCCCCCTCCTTAAAAATGAACAGACCCCTACTGGGTTACAGGAGCTCTGAGTTGGCCTTGGATCATGAAAAGTTATAAGCTATAAAGAAAAAAAACTAAGGTGGTGGAACAAATTAACATGCAGCATTTATCCTTCCAGGCTGGGTTGTTTAAAGCTGGGTTAAGATAACCCAAGGTTAGTACGAAATATGAATTCAGATATGAAAGTTTTAAAAACAAATTCATTTGAATTCCTTTTGTCTACAATTTGGTGATTTGATACTTAAAAAAAAAAGGGAAAATTATCTGACAAAATGCTTTTGATTAAAAGGAAAAAAGAAACGCAGGTTAAAATCTAACACTGGGTTAGTGCTAATCGGTCTTTGGAACAACTGGGCCCCGGTCTTTTTTGGGTCCAATTCTAAATCACATAACCACTTCGAAGTGAGTCAATGGTACATAACCTGGGCATGTGTTACATTCCCCTTCTGTCATTTGATAATAGTAAAGCCTAGGGTCGCACAATGGGCAGGGATCTCCAATTACTAAAACTAAAAATTCAAAATGACACAGTAACTGTTGTATACAGTTACAGAGGGCCCACACTACCTCCCCTTTACATTAAGTAAATACACTACAACAAATCTACTGGACAAAGGTCCAGTAGTCAGATCATTTACTGTATTTTTTCTACAACATAATATTATTATTAAAAAGCTAACAATAACAAGGCCACCCACAGTACCTTAAATTTGGTAAAAAAAAAAAAAAAAAAAGGTTCTGTGCATTTCAAAGTCAGGGT